TCGCCTTCCTCACTGCCTGCTGCACCTGCATGCTTACTTTCAGTGATAGTAGGAACTGCAGATGCTGGAGAATCCGAGACAACAAGGTGCAGGGCTGGATGAACACAGCAGGCCAAGCAGCATCATAGGAGCAGAGAGGCTGACGTTTCGGGCCTGGACCCTTCATCAGAAAAGGGGGAGGGGAAGGGGGTTTTGAAATAAATAGAGAGAGTGGGAGGCGGATCGAAGAGGGATAGAGGAGAGGATAGGTGGAGAGGAAACAAACAGGTCGAAGAGGCGGGGATGGAGCCAGGAAAGGTGAGTGTAGGTAGGGAGTTAGGAAGGGGATAGGTCAGTCCAGGGAGGACGGACAGGTCAAGGGGGCGGGATGAGGTTGGTCGGTAGGAGATGGAGGTGCGGCTTGAGGTGGGAGGAGGGGATAGGTGGGAGGAAGAACAGGTTAGGGAGGCAGGGACGAGCTGGACTGGTTTTGGGATGCGGTGGGGGGAGGGGAGATTTTGAAACTTGTGAAATCCACATTGATACCATTGGGCTGCAGGGTTCCCAAGCGGAATATGAGTTGCTGTTCCTGCAACCTTCGGGTGGCATCGTTGTGGCACTGCAGGAGGCCCAGGATGGACATGTCGTCTGAGGAATGGGAGGGGGAGTTGAAATGGTTCGCGACTGGGAGGTGCAGTTGTTTGTTGCGAACCGAGCGTAGGTGTTCTGCAAAGCGGTCCCCGAGTCTCCGCTTGGTTTCCCCGATGTAGAGGAAGCCACACCGGGTACAGCGGATGCAGTATACCACATTGGCAGATGTGCAGGTGAACATCTGCTTGATGTGGAAAGTCTTCTTGGGGCCTGGGATGGGGGTGAGGGAGGAGGTATGGGAGCAGGTGTAGCACTTCCTGCGGTTGCAGGGAAAAGTGCCGGGTGTGGTGGAGCTGGAGGGGAGTGTGGAGCGGACAAGGGAGTCACGGAGAGAGTTGTCCCTCCGGAAAGCAGATAAAGGTGGGGAGGGAAAGATGTCTTTGGTGGTGGGGTCGGATTGCAGATGGCGGAAGTGTCGGAGGATGATGCGTTGGATCCGGAGGTTGGTGGGGTGGTACGTGAGGACGAGGGGGATTCTTTTTTGGTTTTTATTGCGTGGACGGGGTGTGAGGGATGAGGTGCGGGAGATGTGGGAGACACGGTTGAGGGCGTTCTCGACCACCGAGGAGGGGAAGTTACGGTCCTTGAAAAACGAGGACAACTGAGATGTACGGGAGTGGAATGCCTCATCCTGGGAGCAGATGCGGCGGAGGCGAAGGAATTGGGAATAGGGGATAGCATTTTTGCAGGAAGGTGGGTGGGAGGAGGAGTATTCTAGGTAGCTGTGGGAGTCGGTGGGCTTGAAATGAATATCGGTTTCGAGGTGGTTGCCCGATATGGAGACAGAGAGGTCCAGGAAGGGGAGAGAGGTGTTAGAGATGGTCCAGGTAAACTTAAGGTTGGGGTGGAAGGTGTTAGTGAAGTGTATGAACTGTTCGAGCTCCTCGTGGGAGCACGAGGCAGCGCCGATACAGTCATCAATGTAACGGAGGAAGAGGTGGGGTTTAGGGCGATGCGGTCATTGATGATTGGCCACATTGTTTAGCTTCTCCTAATGTCGTTTCAATTCCCAATCAGATATCTGCTTCATTCACCAATCCGGAGAGGAAGCCGGAAAATACCGGCGCCAAGTCATCAACCGCTTTCTTTCAAACTCCAAAAACCCGCCATTATGTACAAACCAGGAAGAAGTCTAACAAAGAAAAATGCATACATATTTGATTTAATTTACTATGAGATTACACCGACATACTTCACACAATCTCTCCCTCTCGTTCCCTAGCCTACTTAAATCTGACTCTTTGTGACCATGAAAGGATTGTTTCCCCGAACCTTAAGAATAAATTAAAGCAAAAAAAAAACCCTGCCGAAATCTGTTCCCTGCACAGATTCTATTTCACATCAGCACCCAGATAATATTGAGAAAAGGATGACACAACTACGTTTTCTTTTGTCCGGGTGAGCGCATTAATGCTTTGAACAATATTTTAAAATCGCCCTCTCTATTGCACTAGATTAGACTTCAACAATAGTTCCACATTTACTATGCCAATCCGGCAGCTGTTCTAGTTTCATTTCGGTTCACTTTGAAATTCTCCACCCGACAACAGAAAGCCTCATTTATAGCTTTCTGCAAAACCGGAGGAAACACGCGGGGAGATTTGAAAATAAAACAAAATTCCTCACTGTGGAAACCGTTGAAAAATACCGGCGCCGAATCATCAACCGTTTTCTTCCAGATTTGAAAAGCCCGCCAACAGGGACAAAACGAGGAAGACGTTTTACAAAGAATAATGCATAAATGCTTACGATTTAGTTTCCTTTTAGATTACAAATGGAAACTTCACTCCATCTCTCTGTTTCACTCCATGAACCTAATTGAATCCACCCATTTCTGATTTGAATGGAGTTTTCCGAATGTTGAGAACAGGCTGAAACAAAATAAAACAAAGCGCCAGTCCGCAGGCTGCATTTTCTGTTTTTGTATTTCACATTTTAAACGCTCCCCAATATATTGATAAGCCATCAGGCAACGTTCATCCGGCTGAGCGCATAAATAGGCAGCACTGTCTTCAGGCAATTTTGTAAAGTGGCCCTAACTTATTGTGATAGATCAGACTTTCCGGTTGATCTCGGTTCATTTTGAAAGCCTCTCAGTGACAGCAGAAAGCCCCACATACTGCATTTTGAAAAAAAAAAAATACAAATCCCGAGGAGAGATTTGGAAATTGAAATAAAACTGATATCGCAAGATATTCCTATTCGTGGAACTCAAATACGGGGTCACTTTTTTTCGGTGCCACAGGTGGAATTCAGGGTTCAGAACCGACCGCGATTTGTTTGAAAAACCGTCCAACCTGTACAAAAGAGGAAGAACAATGAACAATTTAACTTTTCTTTTATAAGTTAAATTACATTGACATTACAAATCAATACTTTACACAATTTTTCTTTATCGCATTCTCTAGTCTACTCGAATCCGTCCATTTCTGCATTTGAATAGAATTTTCTGAAGTTAGAAACAAGCGGAAAAAGAAAAAAAAATACAAAAGCACTGCATTCTGCACATTTTTTTTTAATTTCACTTTTCAAGTGCACACCGAATATTGACAAAACCTCACACAATGTTCTTCCGGGTGATCGCGTTCACACTTTAAAACAACAGTTCGAAGTTGCCCTTCTCTATTGTCCTTGATCAGACTTCAGGCACAATTTCACACTTGCTATCGTAATTCGGCAGCTGCTCTGGCTTTATCTCGGTTCGTTGTGAAATTAAAAGAAAAACAAGTAGATTGTAAAATCTATTCATGGGATTCGAAGTTAATTTTGCTTCCCGGGGTGATCAAGTGTCAAAGAGGAACTTGAAAAAATGGAAGTTGCTGAGAAATGACTAAGTGGCAATAATTATGCTCTGTAGAGGCAGGGAAAAGACACAGCGTACGGCCGCAACCTAAAATAAACGGCAGAAGATCATGGACCACACATTAACTTCTAGAACATTTATATAAAACAAAGGCTGGGGACATTAATAATACAAACCCAAAATCATTTTAAACTTAAATTGGTTCAGCTGTTTCAGGGAAGTTGTGGGTGGCTCTTAAAAGAGCCGTTGGGTCTGGATGTGTTTTTCTCAGTACAATGTGGTGTCTCACTTGGAGCTGGTGTACTTGGTCACCGCCTTTGTACCCTCCGACACGGCGTGCTTAGCCAACTCCCCGGGCAGCAGCAGCCGCACGGCGGTCTGGATCTCCCGGGAGCTGATGGTGCTGCGCTTGTTGTAATGGGCCAGGCGGGAAGCCTCCCCCGCGATACGCTCGAAAATATCGTTGACGAACGAGTTCATGATGGTCATGGCCTTGGAGGAGATGCCAGTGTCGGGGTGAACCTGCTTCATCACTTTGTAGATGTAGATAGAGTAACTTTCTTTCCTGGA